CAACTTTCAAGATCAGAGTGTATGATGGCCTTGCTCATGTTTGTTTGTTTTTGCTGGTCCAGGGTCTTGAACTTGACTCATATTTGCTTGTTGGTTGGTTGGTTTGTTTTTGCTGGTCCGAGGCCTTGAACTCAGGGTCTGACACTGTCCCTCAGCTTCTTTTTGTGCAGAGCGAGCACTCTACCACTTGAGCCACAGCTCTACTTCCAGATTTTTTGGTAGTTTATTGGAGATAAAAGTCTCATAGTTTTTCCTGCTGGGACTGGCTTTGAACCATGATCCTCAGATCTCAGCCTCCTGAGTAGCTAGGATTTCAGGCATGAGCCACCAGTGTCCAGTGTTTTGTTTTGGCTGGTGTGGGTTTTATTTGGTCGTGTGTGTGTGTGTGTGTGTGTGTGTGTGTGTGTGTGTGTGTGTGTGCACGCGCGCGCACTGGTATTAAGGTTTGAACTCCAAATTTGAGTTTCAACTCTGTCTGTTAACTTTCTTTCTCAAAGCTGGTGCTCTGCCACTTGAGCAACATCTCCACGTAGGCCTTTTTGATGATTAATTAGAGTTAAGAGTCTCAAGGGCTTTCCTACCCAGGCCATTTTGTACTACAATCATCAGATCTCAGCCTCCCAAGTAGCTTAGGTTGAGACATGTGATAACTTATGCATTTAATTGTCAATGTTATTATTAACTAAATATTTAATAAATAACTCTCCCTCCTGATTGCTACTGTGCTGATAATGAAGCACTTGGTTTACCTTCAGTTATCTCTACATTATAGAAAGTACTACAGGAAGTAAAAGAGTTTCTAGAAACCTCCAAGAGGGTTAAAACACTTGGAAAATTCATCATCAGTTCCTAGGGTTTTGAATTTGTCCTTCTCCACAATATGAACCACTCATACAAAGAAAAGGTAAGGGTTGTTGTTGGCTCAGTGCAACTTACTGTTGCTGTTTGAGTACATCCAAATACAGCCATCAGTTTACATCTTGAGTTCTAATTGCCTCTGAGAGTTCTCTGCACAGAACAATAGCTAGAGTGACTATCAGAACAGAAGTCATAAACATAAGACCTTCCTGATCTTGATGAATGAAAACCAAAGGAGGGGCGACAGTTTGTTTTTGCAAAAAGCCATCTGTTTGTTTGTGTATGGTGTTTGTATTCAAATTTAAGGAAATTAATCAAGTAGAAAACATCAGCGTTCATAACACTGCAAACAAGAGTAGTAAAGAAACACACACTTTATAAAAAACTAAGGAGCTAAGAAGGTTTTGAAGCACTTCAGCTTAATCTTCTCTGGTCCCAAGAAGATCTTTTATTTATTTTTTATTTTGGTGTGTGTATAATGCATTGATTCTTGTTACTTAAGAACTCAGAACATAATTGATGACAAGTACTAAATTAATTGGTTATCACTCTCAGCACCTCAACTATACCAGCATGATCCTTTATTTAAGGAACTTTTCTGGTCCTTGACTCACAGGCAACTGAGTTCACCAATAATAAATACAAAAATAGGTAAATACATAAATAAATCTGTCCCAGATCCCTGCATGAACATGTTTCTTTAAGAGACATGCCAATGAAATATATGAGTCAAATATTATTCAGTGATACAGCATATGCTTAGCTTGTGTATGTGGCCATGAACTCAGTCTCTAGTACCAGAAAGAAGAGGGCAGGGGAGAGGAGGAGAAAAGAAAGGGAGGGGGGAGGGTAGGAGAGGGGAGGAGAGGAGGAAACTATGAGCCAATTTCAAATGTCTGTAAGATATGAACCAACTGGTTGTTTGCCCAAGAGATAGGAGGAGATTTGAGACAAAGATTTTTAAGAACTTGAGCCTGGACATTGGACTGGAACACCCAGAAGTTAGGTGTGTAAGCTCAGTGTTAGAAACAGTTGTGGCTTGCTACCTGCCTAGGATGATCTGTCCATTCTTCTTGCAGTGAAGCCCTCAGAAGCACTTCGTGCCTCATAGCAGAACTTCTGGACTTTTGCATTTAAATATCTTCAGATGACTATATGTACAAAAGAGTGAAAAATGGCTCTATGATACCCCTAGACTCAGACACTGAATGTTTGTGCATTGTGTTTATCAGCTAAATGAAGAGAAGCAGAATAGAGCAACAGACAATGTTTTAACTGTCCAGGTGTCAGTCTTCTCTTCTCTTAAATAATGTAATACCACTTAATTATTAGGAGTAAATGAAAGTCTCACAAAGGAAGGGACTTAGTGATCTTGGCTATTACTCTCTCAGCTTCTTTTACGTGTGATATTCTTACAATACACAATATAGATTTGGCATTAAAAAAAATGAGGAGACAGTACATTAGATTTTAGACCTAAATTTCAAAATTAGTGTGTATCTTAACTAAAGGCAGACAACGGCCTAAAGAAGTAGGCCAAGCCTTAGTTTAAAGTCCAATACTGCCACTCATAAGTAAAAATAAAAATAAGCTCCTTGCAAAATAAAAGCCCATAAAGATATGTTGTTTTAGCGTGGGATTATGTTTCAGTCTTCATTTTATAGACAAGGAACATTCAAAATCAAAAATGCCTAATGAAACCGGGTGCTGGTACTTCTTGCCTGTAATCCTAGCTACACAGGAAGCTGAGATTTATCATCATAGTTCAAAGCTAGCCAGGGAAGGGAAGTCTGTGATACCTTTATCTCCAATTAGCCACCAGCAAACTACAAGTAGAGCTGTAGCTCAAAGTGATAGAGCACCTCCTTGAGCAAAAGAGCTCAGGGACAGCACCCAGGCCCTGAGTTCAAGCTCCATGACTAACAACAACAACAACAAAAGCCAAATGACATAAAATCCAAATGGAGTGATTCCTAAATTTTTTCTTAGTATAAGATTTGCCCTTACATCTCTCCCTCAATCAAAATTTTAAAAAAAGCCATCTAGTCTATATCTGTTGCTGAGTGCTAGTGAATCGATAGATTTTTTATTATGTGGCTTACAAAGCTTCAGCCTTTGAAATAAGGGAATTTCTGTCCCATTAGGTGCCAGTACAAGTAGTTGACTTCTCATTTCATGGATGTCACTCATTCGATAGTAACTAAAAGCACATCATCCATTTATCACGATCTTTTCTTATTTCCAGAAAATAGAAAAAGTATATCCTACCAGTAGATTATAACCTTTTTAAGACAGAAACTTCCCTTCATAACAACCCTGAACTGTTTTCTTTCCAGAGTTGGATAAAATGATAGAAAAAAAGTGTGTTACAATTATTTTTTTCTTTATACAGGAAAGTAGGAAGTTGAGGTGATAGATTGGGTATTAAAATGTGTGCATGTGCTGAACTATCACATTGTACCCCATAAATTTGTACAATTCCCCTTTGCCAATTAAAAATAAAACAAACCCCAAATAAATATCTCATATGAAGTATAATCTCAAAGTTCCCCACATGAGATTTTATTCTACTAGGTTCATTTAACAAATATCCAAATACCTCATAGCCTGCAACATGACCCTATGGAAGATAATTAATCATGTTCTATTATTGTGTTTCTATGGTTTTTTTGTTGGTGTTGTTGTAGGTTTGGGGCTTTGATATCTCTTATTTGCAATTATTTGCTTGGTTGGCTTAATACATAAAAACTTGTGAAATAGGGCTGTGCTGAGAATTCCATTCTTTTAGGCACTTATATGGCTTTTATATTGAATTTTAGGCACTTATATGGCTTTTGTGTTGAATTCAATTTGCATGTTACTATTATACTCTCTGTTACCATTTATGAAGTTACATTATCTTGAAAAATTGGGATAGCTATAATGTGAGATGTTGGAGGACTAGAGTTTACAAACAGCCTCAACTAAACAAGCACGCTCCAACCCCACTAAAGCAATTATGTAAAGGTGATCTTAAAAGCTAATGAACACTCTTTTGTTTTTAAAGAAGCAGTATGAATATAGAATGTTGTCAACGATGCTCACTACAGCATTATTTATTTTTGTCATGAAATTTGCCAATATGGCTACTAGTTCTACATTTTGTCAACACTGTAAGCCTAAGCTAGATGCGGGTGGCTCATGCTTATAATTCTAGCTTCTCAGGAGGCTGAAATTTAGTGGATGAAGTTTCAAAGCAAGCCTGGGCAAAGAAGAGTGCAAGACTCCATTTCCAGATTAGCCCCCTTCCCCCAAATATTGGGCTGGAGATGTGGTTCAAGTGGTAGTATACTAGTTGTGAGTGAGAAAACCAAGCTGAATTGCAAGGCCCTGAGTTCAATTCCAGGTACTGACACAAAATAAATAAATAAATGCTGTAAGTTGAAATCTCTGTTCTGCAGAAATTTAACAGAAATAGACTAAAATAAATCATACCTAAAACAAGGAAAAGAGGAACATATTGTGAGTGCCATATTTTCAACCATGTATGATAAAACTGTTGGAAAATGCTGGACAAATGAAAGAGGAATTATTGCTGAGGCTCAATACTATAAAGGACATTATATAGATGTTGTGTGTGTGTGGGGGGGGGGGTTCTTTTTCTTTTTCTTTCTTTGGAAGTATTTTGTATTGTTTTCCCTGGTTGGATTTTTCTCTCTGAATTTTCTAAATTTTCCACGCTAAAACAAGCAACTTTTTACCACAGAAAAAAGGCCCCAATAAGTTCCAATATATGTAGATATTTCTGTGGTTAGCTGAGATGCGACTTTAGTGAAACGAGAGAGAGACATGAAAATGTTTTTAAAAGAGGCTCTTTCAGAATAACATGCCAAAAAGGGTTCTTTCAGCCATAATCTTTGGAAATCTTCTCTCCCTCCTCCCTACTGTCCTGTGGTTGTAGAAAGGTGTACTTTAATCTTTTCATATATTAAAAATGACCTCCTGCCCAAGTCCGGGCTTCTCGGATGACTAAGGTTTATGGATCTCAGCCTATAACAGAAATAAAATAAAGCAAAAGTATACCCTACTCTTAAATTTAGTTTATTTCCACCCGAGCTCAAAGGCTTTGTCCTTACTGCTGTTGTTTTTCTTTAACTCTCCAGATCCAACCAGGGTCTTGGTCCCACCTTCCAGCATGGATGTCACTGTTGGAGAGAGCATTGTTCTGCCCTGCCAGGTGACACACGATCACTCGCTCGACATTGTGTTCACCTGGTCTTTCAATGGACACCTGATTGACTTTGACAAAGATGGAGACCACTTTGAAAGAGTTGGAGGGGTAAGTATTAATAGCGCACAGGAAACAGGATACAAAGCAACTGAACTTCTTGAAACTGCTTCAGGGTAATGTAGAAAAATGTAGAAAGTCACTATTTAAGAATTGTTTTTTCTCCTCCTGTTTATTTATTCATTCACATGGCTTTATTTGCTCCAGGCTGGTGCAAAAAACTTCCAGTTTTTTGGTTATTCATTGGAGATAAGACACTGCCGGGGCTGGCTTCAAACCACAATCCTCAGATCTCAGCTTCCTAAGTAGCTAGGATTACAAGAGTGAGCCACCAGCACCAAACTGATAACGCTTTTCAAGCATCTCATTTCACAAAATTTTGGGGTGTCAAAAATTTGGCCCTGTGGGAGAATCATTATTGTATAGTTAGGACTTGATTTTAAAATGATGGCGAGGTTATTTATTATCTCCAAGTAGAATGAATCCGAATGCTTCAATTTTTTGAAATGCTTTACTTTTGATAAAATGTATATTAGTGAAGATATAACAAGAAGAGGTTTAAACCTGAAAGCAATTTGGGTTTGCAACTATCATTCTTATAAATGATTTTCTTATCCTAACACAGCCCTACATTCCAACTAATAATAAAGATTCACTCTGGCTGCCAGTCTATTAGACAGCCCTAACCAAAAAAACAAGCAGAATGTAAAAGCAGGGCTCTGAACTCAATAAGAATCTGATTTCCCCCTCAAGTTTCTCACCTTAGGTTGAGCATGAACAGCCCGAAGTTTACAAAGTATTACTTAATTGTACATGATTGGTCTAGCTATATTACCATTTTTATTCTTGCATGGATGCCAACTTTCTCAAGGAGTTTGAGTCACAGACATTAAAAACACTTTCAATGACTATTTTCCCAAGGATGGCATCCATCTGGTACCATCATTTATGGCATCAGTAGATATCTTGGTTCATTAGGGATTGTCTTTTGGAGTCTCAGGTGATGCAATCTGGATGGCACTGTCAAAATTATAACCTTTCTGGACCTCTATCAATTGGTTCAACTTAATAACTTAGCCAAGTGAGAATACATGAACTAAGGCCTGAGCTTACGCAAGATTTCAAATTCCTTGCAATCAAAAACATCCATAGTTCTGTGTTTAGCACAAAAGAAAGACTTGGTCAAATTTAATGAGGTAGTATGTGGAGGAGGGATCACATTGATTTGATAATAGTATAAATTATTATATTAGTATAAGTAGTATATAATATATTATAGTATAAAAGTATATGCTGAGACCATTTTTCATAAAGTAAGCAGAATAGTTGGTTATTCTCCCGTTTATTATCAGACAGGGGAAGGATAACAAAAAGTATTATCTCCTAGGATGGTAGGGACATCTACCAATTTTAAATAGAGACCTGAGGATCAGATAGGTAGCCTAGCCAAACAGACACAGCGGTTGCCACACAACACCAGGACTGAGGAACACCAGATGGAGAAACCTTAATGCTTATCATGGACAAGCACTTTAATTCCATCTTCTGTGCCAACCCTTGCCTGTAGAATGGGTGCCATTTGTCTTTCTTTTTTTTTTTTGGTCAGTCGGTTGTGGGACTTGAACTCTGGCCCTGGGCAATGACCTCAGCGCTTCAGTTCCAGGCGAGCACTCTACCACTTGAGCCACAGTGCCACTTCTGGTTTTCGGAGTAGTTTATTGGAGATAAGAGTCTCATGGCCTTTCCCGTTCCTGCCCAGGCTGGCTTTTGAACAGCGATCCTCAGATCTCAGCCTCCTGAGTAGCTAGGATTACAGGCCTGGCCCATTTGCCTTTCATGTGAGGAATCTCTCTCTCTCCCCTTTAGCCCTTTCTCCATTATTGCTAAGAAATAAGTGTGACCTGAAGGATTTCACTACAGACAGTGAGAATGCCCACCAGGGTCATTAATGGCTGTAGCCTTAGGATTTGGTAGTAGAGGAGGAAGACCTGCGCCATTCTGAAGCCAAGTCCATTGTCTCTGCTTCCTGACTCAGCGTGCTGGAAAGGATGCTCCGTAGAATCAACCTGTTGAGGTTTTACAAAATGTATCGTGTCATTGTGCTCCGTTCCTCACAAGTGCTCTGTCAGAAACAGAACAGAACCCAGTAGGAGAACACAAACTGTGACTGTGGTGTTCTCTTTGGTAGGGACATAAATATACTTCTTAGTTCTGGCTTTTTCTGAGAAGTCTCTTTTTGTGAGGCTCTTACTGGATCCTGATGTTATTTTATTTTTTTATTTATTTACTTTTTTGGGTCCGGTCATGGGGCCTGAACCCTGGGCGCTGTCCCTCAGCTCTTCAGCTCAAGGCTAGCACTCTACCACTTGAGCCACAGCGCCACTTCCGGCTTTTTTCTTTTTGCTTATGTGGTGCTGACGAATCGAACCCAGGGCCTCAGGCATGCAAGGCAAGCACTCTACCACTGAGCCACCTTCCCAGCCCCCTGATGTTATTTTTTTACATTTCAGTTTTGCTTGAAAGATACAATTCCAGTCAAAATGTAAGACTAACTACAATTACATTCTGAGTGATAAAAACATGACATTGTATTAGCAGTTTTCTGTGCTCTGAAATATTCCAGCTATCATGGTTTCTTTGCTATTTAAGTACCCAAAGAATAAAATAAATTATTGAGATCGTGGAGCTATTTTCATAGAACCTATATGGCTTCCATTTTAAAATCAATATGGCTTCCCACTTCACTGCCTACATCTCTCTAGCAATTTTATTTTGTATTTGAACTTCTCCTCAAGATCCCAACATGTGAAATATCTTAGGTAAAGAAGACTAACAATATTGATGGCAACAGTGGTGATAATGATGATGATGATGATGGTGGTTGCTCTTTTATTTGTAATGAACCTACTTATTGACCAAGCGCTTATATAGTAGCTCCTTAATCCTCCCAGAATCCCTGTGAAATAGGTTAGCAATTATTTTTCCCATTTTACTTGAGCTGTTATAAGATGTGATCAGTAAATAGTGGAAATTGGACAGGAACACAAGTGTTATAAATAAAAGATGTCTGTGATGATAAAAAAAAAAAAAATCACAGTTCTACTTCAATTAGATTTAAGGGTTTTTTTTGACGTGATTGTTTCACAGAGAAAATTGATCATGACCATCAATAATGCCAGTTTAAATTTACTCCGTGCTTCATCGTCTATAAAAGGATTTCACAATAACATCCAGTCTCATTGGATTCTCACCACATAGCCCAGAAGGGGAGGCATCCTTCTTTTAGAGGTCAATAAACAAAGGCACAGACAGATTAAGAGATTTAGATAAAATCACACAGCAGGGATCAGCCTGAGACAACCAGGTATCAAAACTTTAGCTCTCCTGCAGTCTAGACTTCAGCCTTTCTTCTACTCTTTCTAATAGCAGCGCGAGATTCTGCCTCTTTCACCGCCCTTAGTAAAAGTGCATGTGGTGTGTGTTGTATTGAAACAAAAGAAAGAGGCCAAGAACTCAGTGATTTCCAACAAAGATACAGAGAAGTCTCTTTTCTGTATCTCTAAGAGCAAGGATTAGAGCTGGTGATGTGGGTTCAATTCTGGCTCTGCTTCTTACAAGTGACTTTAGGTAAATCACCTAACTTCCTTGTGCTAGAGTTTCCTCATCTACAAAATAAGATAACTAGAACGTCTGCTTCCAAGGACATTAATACTGCTGTATTACTCTATCTAAAACACTTGGAAAATAACAGCCATATGCAAAATATCACTAAGTATCACACATCATCATTACCAGTGGGAGGACTGACACCGTTATATTTAGAATGGGAAAACATGGAAAGATTAATATACCCTAAATGTTCATCCTTTGTGGGAAGAAGTTAAGAAGAGGCACAGCATTCCAAATCTAGCCTGTGGAGTAGTCACTTGTATGGGCAAGTGATCTCCAAACTTTTGATTAACAGAACTGTGAAACCAAATTCTAAAGTATAGCACCTTTTTGTGATACTCTGTGAAGGTATCTTCGTGTTTGTGAAAAATACTTTGTTGGTGAACGGTGCAGAAATGGTTCTGGGGGTAACTAGGCATCTATACTGGGATGTAATTAGACTTATTCATCTGCTAATCAAACATGCATTTGGCATTTGGAAAACAAATTAGCACTGTTCCACATTAGGTGATGCAAGATTTCCTTGGAGAGTCGGTCTTCATAATCCTTTAATTTAAACCGGAGAGCAATCAAAATGCTGGCTGCAAGTCAGGGTTATACAGGGAAATGTGGACTACTCCAAATATGGGTTCATTTCCCCCTTCCAAATAAGGAGCTCCAAAGTATCAGAATACCAGCACAGGCAGCCGGCTGAGGTCACGTTGAAGGGAATCAACAAGACTAGCTCAAGAATCACCTTATCTAAGTAGGTTTAAGTGCTTCCGATAAGGGTCTAGTAGACTCTTCCAGAGACCCAGGGAAGCCAGGCACCTGAGCTCTTGCCAAAGGTGGGTTCTGAAATGTTGGCATTGTTTCTTGGGCTAACCTACCTATTTTTAATAGACCGTGGCTTGCATCGCTAATGTTTTTCATCAGCCAGTGTAAAATAAATCCATTAGTCACAGTGTCCTTCATGTGATAATGCTATTTAGAGCTCATTAAAAAGTAATCGTAGCCACTTTCCTCCACTTTATCAGCAGGATTCAGCTGGTGATTTGATGATCCGAAACATCCAACTGAAGCATGCTGGGAAATATGTCTGCATTGTCCAGACAAGCGTGGACAGACTATCTGCTTCTGCAGACCTGATTGTAAGAGGTATTGAATTGTTTTTTGGTCCTTAAATATTTTTGTGATATGTATCCTAGCAGAGTTCTAAAACCCCAGGGGTTTAAAATTATTGGAAAAAAACAACAACAAACAAACAGGCAGAAGCTAAGCACACAAACAGTGGATAACAGCCAAGAGAAGTTTCCTGCACACATATTTCTCATGCCGGATTGTCAGACAATGTACTGAGCAAATCCAGTTCCTTTATCCTAAAAATAAATCCTGTCCATGCTCCAATTGTTGCCATTGAAGTTGATACGATGTTCTAGAATACTTTTGATCAGCAAAAGCATATACTTGTATATGTGTGTGTAGGTCTTGGGGCTTGAACTCAAGGCCTGGGTATAGTCCCTGAGTTTTTTTGTTCAAGGCTAGCTCTCAACCACTTGAGCCACAGTTCCATTTCTTGCTTTTTGGTGATTAACTGGAGATGAGAGGCACATAGACTTTCCTGCCTAGGCTGGCTTTGAATCGTGATCCTCAGATCTCAGCCTCCTGAATAGTGAGGATGAGAGGTGTGAGCCACTGGGCCCAGCAAAAGCATCTGCGTTAAAAGGGATCCATCCAGCTATACCGTTTGGGGGTTTCATCTAGGTTAAACCTCACGGATTCTTTTTTTTTCTTGGTGTCCAGTCATGGAGCCTGAACTCTGGGCCTGGGCGCTGTCCCTCAGCTCTTCAGCTCAAGGCTAGTGCTCTACCACTTGAGCCACAACGCCACTCCCGGCTTTTTTCTTTTTGCTTATGTGGTGCTGAGGAATCGAACCCAGGGCCTCATGCATGCAAAGCAAGCACTCTACCACTGAGCCACCTTCCCAGCCCCCACACGGATTCTTTAATCCACTAGTAAAACAGTAGCCTAAGTAAATCGATCATTAGATTTTTTTCCCCAGTTTTATGTCCTCCTCCACACACAAATTTACAGGACTACCCAGGTTTTAAAATATGGTTTTATAGGAAGATAACCCCTGATTGACTGAGACATAGCAAACAAGGTTGGAGCTGGTGTCAAAATTAATATTATGAGACGTTCGTGAGTAACTGCTTAAATGGCAGAACATGGAGCTAACAACAGACGCCCTGAGCGGACCCCATGGGTCCTATCATGGTCATATCATATTCCAAGCCATACCAAAGAAATGGGTCAAAAGAACTGTAAATGGACTTCGAAGAAATGTTTTAAAGGTAAAGGAAAAATCTTAATACTCCAGGCACACGTCTGACCCATTCCTATGCATTCTCCCTGGTTCTCTGAAGCACTAAAAATGAAGCGACATGGGAGGTATGGCTCAGTTGGTAGAGTACTAGCCAATGAGCAAGAGCATCAAGCACCAAGTTCAAGTCCTGGTCAAGTAAGCCTGGGGCTGTATCTCAGTGGTAACACATCTGGCTAACGTGCATAGGGATTGGGTTCAATCCCTAGACCACAAAAATACTAAAATAAAAACAAAGCAAACTCAGAACAAGAAAATAAGCTCCCGGCTCGCAAGCTGCTGCTTCTTTCTCAGAATCCTTGGCAAAGGAGCACATCTTTGGAGTCCACTGCAGAACTTAGAGCGCAAGGAAACTTCTTTTTTAAGTCCGGAGTTGGAGGCAGGGTGAATCTGAGTATGTAGGGACCAACAAAACAATCTTACTGCGACCTCTCGGCAGAATGTGGGGAGAAATGGGAAGGGATTCGAAACTTAAAGTCACTATCAAGAGAGGGTAAAGGAAAATAGCCTCAGGACTCATACGGTTACCTTTAAATGACTTATCACACCTTTCAGTTAAGTTGCAGATAGGAGCCAGAAAAGAGGAGGGGGGGGGGGCGGAATCGCACCTAAGTGATCGTGCCCAGAGAATAACTTACAGAAATATGTGTATTTCCATTTAAAAAATATATACCAGAATCAGTTTGCTCTCCCCTTGGGGACAAAAAGAATTCTGTTGCTAGAAATTTATCTTCTATTTAATTAGGATAATGTTCAGATCAGCAGTTTAAGCACCAATAAATTACACTAATAAATATTTAAATCAGTAATACTTGAAGTTCTTAAATGATATTGTATACTTCATTTCACCGAAAATAACATTGAATGCCAAGAGGAATTTGCTAATGCAGTCTAAAAGAAAATCTAGTTGCACCGGTTAATAAGGCCAATAAATTAATATGTCGTTTAAAACCATAATCTTTTGTTTTATCTCTTCCTTCTCTGACCTTGCAACTTTTCCGCCCATTAGGTAGAGAGAGGAGGCAGAAGTTTGCTTTACTACCCTGCATAGTTGAAAATGGCGTAGCATGGAGTATAGGTTCTGGACCTGATTTGTCTTGTGCTTATTTATTTTATCTTTAGCTATGTAAGGCCCCCAGAAATTCTCCCTTCCCTGAGCCATAGCATATTCTAGCATGCAAACACTCGTTCCTTTTGCTATTGCCCAAAACAAAAGCAAACAAACAAAAATCTGTGGGACTTCGACAATGTTATATCACGTTTGTCCTCTGATATTTATCATTTTGAATTAATCATCTAAATGAAAGAAACCTTCTGTAAATTGGAGCTATACATTTGATGGGGGGGGTAGAAGAAAAGTTTTTTTTAAAAAAGACCAAACAATAGGCTGAAACTCCTCTCTTTTCTCCAGGGACCAAATCTACACCCCTGCTTGAAGGGTGGGCCACAAAGATCTCACACGTATTCTTTAATGAGTTGGGGAACAAAATGTTTTTTCCTTTCAGGGGACTTTGATTCTAAAGGCCACTACAAAGCAGTATCCATAAAGAAAAAGGGTGCAAATACTAAGTTGAGAAACTGGTCGGAAAAACACAAACAGGAAGAATAGCTTATCTTCCCGGTGTACATGGTAATAGGGCTTCCCAAAGACCAGAGGTTACCTTGGCCCTCCCCAGGTGACATCAGATTGTCATGCTGAAATGTCACCGTGGACAATTAATCCATTCTAGCATACAGATTTGCAGACATTTTCACTCAGGAGTGGGAAGGAGAAGCTAAATTTAGTCTCACCTGCAAGTCTACAAAAATGATTTGGGGGGGGAGGAAAGAGAGAGAGAGAGCGAGAGAGAGAATATGAATATGGTAGAGCATCATGTAGAGTAAGAGTAAATTCCAGAAGTCTTCCTTTGGGAAATTGCCATTTACTCCCTACCCCCCCCCCCCCCCACCACCACCCAGAGGTCTGTCTTTTCTTCCCCTGTCACTGGAACGTGACACAGTTAGGAGTACTTGTCATCGCTGAACTGTGCTTTGCAAGTCTCTCCTAGGACTCAATCCTTTGATCCATCTAATGGAAATGAAATATCATTTGAATTGCATTTTGCTGACTGGCCAGAGCTTTCCATGTGGAAAGACTGTTGTCTTTGCTTGCCTGTTGCTCTCCATCTTTCCATTGCTTTATGATTTCTGATCCTTTAGTTAAGCTGGATTTATTCCCACTTTCAATAGTGGAAGTGCATGGACAGAAACCATACGCATCAGGAGCCTGGGTAGGAAAATACAAGCCCGACTGACAGGTAGAAACCACATAAGCGGGGGTCCAGACTCCGTCCTAGCTTCAAAATTGCGTTAGGGAAGGGAGGGGCTTATGACACTGGCGCACTGGCTGTGGTCCCAATGGTGTGTCTTGCAGAGATGGATGGAGGGGAAGGGGAGGTGGACGTTAATAATTACAAGTGCAGCAGAATGTGCAATGCAACCCTGTCACACTCCAAACCTTCAAAGCTACGTCTGCTCTCCTGTACATCCTCCGTGAGAGAAATGCCCATTTCCAGCCGACTGTAATCTTCATGTAATCAGAGGCGATGCCTACCTTCTGTCACTGCTCTGTCCCCAGACACAGTATGTCTGGCCCACAGCAGAAACTCGTAAATACATGATAAATGGAGACATGAATTTGAGCCTTTTCGGTACCCCAATATTCTCGCCTAGCATCAAAACGAAGATTCCACTGCAATGCTATGTTTACCTAATAGTATTTCCTCCTAATCTCTGAGCCACTGAGAGAAAGGGACACGCCTCATTCCTCTCTGTAGCTTTAGAGTCCAGCAGAGCTGCTGGAAGTCAGCAGGTGTTCAGAAAAGAAGTTGATTGAGTGATGATGATGATGATGATGATGATGCATGAGTGGATGAATTAGTGTTTAAGTGAGTCAGCTCCCTGCTAAAGTGACTGGATCATACGCACGCACATTTAACCCCCCGCTTTGGTTCTAAGAGTCTGGCTTTTTCCCAGGTCCTCCTGGTCCCCCAGAGGCTGTGACCATTGATGAAATCACAGACACCACTGCTCAGCTTTCCTGGAGAGCCGGGCCTGACAACCACAGCCCCGTCACCATGTATGTCATCCAAGCCAGGACTCCGTTCTCCGTGGGCTGGCAAGCAGTCAGTACAGGTATCATATTGGAGGCTGGGTGCTGGTATCTCTCTGGGTCTTCTGGAACTCAGCATGATGGACAATAGCAGAAGCTAAGGGACATCTGAGTGGACACAGCTCCCAAGAACACCCATGGCTGTGTCTCCAAGACCAGTGCTATCTGTACTGGCATTTGTTGTATGTTTGCTTCCTTACCAGCTCACATTTAGGTATTTGTTTCACTCATCCTAAGCAAGAGTATTGCAGATGCTTAGGTCTGCCATGCTGGTTCTGTTGGAACTTACATTTCAAATGGATAAAATGCACGAGTCTGCCTATTATCTGAGATTATCTGTGTGTATCACTGTGGTGGCCTAGGGAAAGGTAGTGGTGTGTGCAATCCCACAAGCACAATCTTGGGAGAATTTTTTTTTTGGTAGTACTGAAGTTTGAACTCAGCACCACATGCTTTTCTAGGCAGACACTTTATCACTTGAACCATAAGCCGGCTTGATAGTCAGACTTCGTAAAGTTTATACGTAACTTCCCAGAAAACAGTATCTAAAGAATTTAGAGAGACTATTCACTTGCTACCCCCATTTTTTTTTCAGATTGATATATTTGGGAATGCTGAGATGTAAGAATTTTAATCTGTTTTATAAGTCTAGTGCCTTTTTAAAGCCATAATTATTGGTATCACTGATATTTCCATCCTCTTTCTCTTTCAAGTTATTTATTCTACATACTTTTTTTTAGTGCCACAACCACTTCTCTTTGGGGTTTTAAGTAATTCTTTAATCATTTCCATCTCTGTCAATATTTTATTTTTTTCATATAGATTTCCTCTAAGGAAAAAAATTGGGCAAATCATTCCTGCAAGCAAGATTCACTGGCCTTTAGTCCCCAAGGGAAGGCCAGGTGGCCTTGATGTCTTGAACTAGAAATAAATGGAGTGAAAGACCCAATTTCATACAATTTAGATAATTGTATAATGATGTTAGCAACCCCAATTGTTTGCTCTTAATTTTAGCTTTTCAAACATCAGAAATGGCCAGGGGCTAGTGACTCATGCCTGTCATCCAAGCTACTTGAGAAGCTGAAGTCAGGAAATTCATGGTTTCAGCCAGCCTCGTCAGGAAAGTCCAAGAGACTCCATCAGTCTGGGCCTGGTGGCACATGTATGTTATCTCGGCTATGAAGGGAAGCCTAGAATTGATGTATCTTGGTCCAAGTGAATGTTTGCGAAGGAAGCAAGTTCCTACCTCAAAAATTAGCAGTTACAGACATGGCTTGCTGGCAGACACCTGCCTAGAAAGTGCGAGGCCCTGAGTTCAAACCTAACCACTGCCAAAAAAGAAAAGAAAAAAACACTTCAGAAATGAATAGGTTTATGTATTTTTCTCTGTATTTACCTACTTCCTGTTGAATCACAGAATAATTTTCAAAAGAAAGTGAAGAAAAATTTGGAAGTCGAGACAACAAATTCTAGTGTTGACTGTGCTAATCATCAGATCTTTACATATTTTCATTTTTCTCTCCTAGGAGCATAATGAAAATAAAAGTGTGCCTGACAATATATGAAAAAGATAGGAAAGCATGTTAGGCCATCACAATAATGATTATAGTCAAGTAGCTTACGGCCTTTGAAACGAGTCTTACATCATCTCCCTGTATCTGACTTGAGTGTATTATTAAACATACAGAGTTCTGGGATTACTTCACTGTAACAGAAGTTTTTATATCTATGGTCAACTACCTACCATCCCCTAAATGAGATAATGATGACAATGATAGTTGGATATGTAGATGGAGAGATAGAAGAATAGTTGGGTGGGTGGATGAGTGGATGGACAAATGCACAAATGGATAGATGAATGGATGGATAGACAGATGGGTGGATGGATGGATGGATGGATGATGGGTGGATAGATGGATAGAAAGGTCAGTGTATAGGTGGATGGGTGGGTGAATGGATAGATGGGTGTATGGATAGATGGATGGATAGATAGGTCGACGGGTGGATGGATGGATGGATGGATGGATGGATGGATGGATGGATGGATGATGGATGAATGGATGGATGGATGGATAGGAGGGTGGATGGATGGATGGATGGATGGATGGATGGTGCCTGCATTTGTTTTCTGGGAATCCTGTGAAACATTCTCACCTTCTGATTTGTTTCAGTCCCAGAACTCATTGATGGGAAGACATTCACAGCAACGGTGGTGGGTTTGAACCCCTGGGTTGAGTATGAATTCCGCACCGTGGCAGCCAACGTGATTGGCATTGGGGAGCCCAGTCGGCCCTCAGAGAAACGGAGGACAGAAGAAGCCCGTGAGTAGCACCCAGGATGCACATCGTCCGCTGTGGCAGCTCCTGAAATGTAGGAAGAGACCTTGCATTCTTCTGCTCTTTTAGCCCCAAGTGAAATCCAGATTCACATTCCCACACCTATCCCCTGAAATCATTGTAAAACTCAGAAATCAGAGTAGAGACTCAGCTTCATTGAATCCACTAGTGTAGCAAGAAATTGTCTGTGCTTAACTCTTTCATGTCTGTCTTTTTGTTTTTTTTTATTTGTGTTACCAAAAAAATCATGAATGGCAAAGGAAAATGTCTTCAGGCATGTTCACTAGGTTTTTGTTCCAGATGCTAAGACTGAGAACATCCTGCGAAGAGCTTGAATAAAAACAGGGAGAGAATAATGTTACCATGCATACAGGTAGAAGGCAAATGATTCTTGAAAGCATAACAAGATCTTAGGCAAATCAGAAATTGTACCTTCCTTTAAAAAAAAAAAAAGTAAATTCATCTAGCTATGTCCTTGGCTCTAGCCAAGGGGAAGTACCCACCGATGAGGTACATTTCCCAGCAAAGACATTTTTAAATTCTGCCTTTCTGTGAATCTTTCCATTACAGGAAGACATGGTGAATGCCGTGCCTGCTTTCCTGCCCTGTCCAAAACAACTACTTAATTAATCCACTCAACCCTGAGGAGGAAATGAGCCAGATTTCCCCACTTTTACAGAGAAAACTGGGGATCCAAGAGGTTAAGCACAGGGAGCCAGGGGTCAGCCTATGGCTTCCACTTGCATCAACACCCAGCTCACAATTCCCCTTCGGAGAAGCCATTAGCCCCGCCCCCCATCCCAGCAGCCTGCTACTCCAGAACACTGCTGCATTGCTCCATTCTGTCTGTGCTATGTTCACTGGCTGTTGACATTGATCTGTGATCCTTTTCTGTGTGCTCTCATCCCAACAAGATTGTAAGCTCTTTGTGGGCATAGTTCCTCTTCTTTCCTATGTGTACCATGACATGGTTAATAAATGACTAAACCACAATTGAGGACCTACCAGCACATCTCAGTCCTTTCTTCTTTCCTGGAACCCTTTGGTCTTTAGGGATGGAGCTGAACAATTGGTAAGATAGGCCAATCCCATTGGTACCTCGTTGAGTGGGAAACAGGTAAAGAATAGCCATCTCCTTGCTACATTTTGCTTCCCTCCAGAGCATGCCCAAAGTCCCTTGCTCACGCTGTTTCTGAGCTCTATAGACAGAGATGTAGGAGTCTGAGTATCCTGGCCCTCACTCACCATTACCACCTGACGTAACTTGTTTTTTTGTCTCCTGCACAGTCCCTGAAGTCACCCCAGCTAACGTCAGTGGTGGAGGAGGCAGCAAATCTGAACTGGTTATAACGTGGGAGGTAAATGAATGGCAGAAGAGAAGGGACATATATCCTGTCTAGGCCAGGTTGTTATTGTCCGCCATGTCAAATATTATTTCTCAGAGTTAAAATCCATTAAAGTGCCAACATGTCCTCTCCCGTAGCTAATGGCTAGCAGGAAATAAAGGTGTTGGCCCATGCATTGTCAAGGCAAGTTTTAATTTCATATATCACAGGAAAACAAACAATCATAAAAGGGAAGATAGCACAAAAAAATTTAAAGTCAAGTTGAGAGAAAACCAGTAGGGTTTTTGCTGTTGTTGTTGTTGTTTTGTTTTTCTTCCTGAATTGCTCCCTGACCAATTGATTGAGAATGTCTGCCAGCAATAAATTCAGCAAGGCAGCGTGATTTCCTGGCGGTTGGCTGCGCTACTGGATTATGAGATATTTCTTTAAATAACCTGGAGGAAGGCTCATCACCAATTTATTAAAAATTGATTTTGTGAGAGGAGGTAGGAAACACCAAAAAGGGTCTTTAATGTGTTTGAAAATTTCTAGACAATCACTCCAGAAATGAAAAGCGTTCTCATAGCCAGAGAGCCCGCAGTACAACAAACCCTCTCCTCACACACAGCTGAGCTCTTGGGGTGCAGAGAGAGACATATCTCACCTGCACCACGCTGGTCTTTCTTCCTTCCATGAGATCTTTTGTCTACTTGGCAGTCGGAGGAAGATTAGTATTTGTGCATAGTAGGAGCATGTGTTTTTAAGGGGCTCACTTGTCTACTTAATTTATTTCTCTCTCTTTGAGGTCTTTAACAAGAAAGGGAGAGTGACTTCATCTAAGCCAAGCTTTTCTTTCTCCCCCACCCCCCTTTTAAACTCCCTCCAATCTAACACCTCACAGATACACAAGGCAGACTGAAGGACAAATTTAAAAGGCCCTTGACACACCCCTCAAGATGCCTGTAAAGGAACGGAGACAAGAGTATTGGAGGGAAGGACAGGCAGTATTAGCATCTGGTCACGCTCTGTTGGTTTCTAATCACCGACTCTTCCTTTCCCAGACGGTCCCCGAGGAACTACAGAATGGCCGAGGCTTTGGCTACGTGGTGGCCTTCCGGCCACATGGCAAAATGATCTGGATGCTCACCGTCCTGGCCTCGGCCGATGCCTCCAGATACGTGTTCAGGAATGAGAGCGTGCGCCCTTTCTCTCCCTTTGAGGTGAAAGTGGGCGTCTTCAACAATAAAGGAGAAGGGCCGTTCAGCCCCACCACGCTGGTGTATTCTGCTGAAGAAGGTACGGCCCGCGCTACCTGCAAGTGAATATTCCTTCCGTGTGCAAATGGAAATGTCAAATACAGAATGCATGTCAACTGAAGGCATATTCCCATGTGAGAAAAATATATTGTAAAAAAAGAAAGTTCATTATCCACTACCCATCTCTTGAAAAAAAAACCACAACTCTGACCCAGAATAATGGCGCACACCTGTAATCCCGGTAACTTGGGAGGCTAAGATGGCAGGATTGTGAGTTCAGGGCCCACCTTGAAGAGACTTCGAAGCCGAATTGGGCTATCTAGTGAGGTTGTGACTCCAGAACGGAACAACAACAAGCAACTTAACGTAAAGCCACAGAATCTCACATCACAAGCGCCACAAAGTTCGTGTGCGTGCGTGCGTGTGCGTGCGTGTGCGTGCGTGCGTGTGTAATGGTATCACTACTTTGAAAAGAACTCTATTTTACACCTTTAGATGAATGTTTTCGTAAGTCATGCAGCTTACCCTAACGGACTAGAGAACAAAGCCGACCATGGAACTGCACATGCGCACTAACCCACGGCCAGACATACTGTCATATGGTTCACATTCTCACATCTCGCCTCCTCTTCCGTGAGGTCCTCAGGAAGCCTCGCGTACAGCCCGCATTGCTCTTGGAGCTTGTTACTGGATGGTGAAACCATATTAAAGCATGTGAAAGTTGAGTTATCAGTTGAGGGTTAATGAAGAAGTAATTCATTCTTGTCCCCAGTAGAGAAATCATCTGCATGCATCCTGCCACATTCCCTGCCTCTCTGTCTCCTCATCTCCTCGCTCTTTGCTGCATAATCCACGTCCGACCCACCTCCCAAGGATGTGCAGCCCCCCCAGGGCATTAGCCCTTTGCATGGGCATCAGTTTGTCTTGTTGCCTTCTTGTCCACTCTGAATTTCCATTCACCCTCCAATCTCCCCTTGAACCTCTGAGGCCTTCTTATAATTTGTAGAACAGCTGAATAGAAGAATTGCTTCTCTTTCTTCTCATTCATCTGGTGTTGTTTACTAGCATAGCACTTACAAGGTTTATAGAATTTTCACATCCCTTTATTATAATTCTGCTCTTACTGTATTGTAAATTTGGAATTTTGGTGGGATGTGTTCGTGATGGTCTGTTTCCTGAGGATGGGTCATTTGTTTATTTATCTATCCATCTATTGTATAGTGATTTTAATACATCCAGAATTAATTGACACATACATAGAATCTTGAATAGTGATGAGTTGCTAGAGGGCCCCTTGTCCAATATTTCCTGGTGTTTGATGCGCAATCCAGAAAGAGTAAGAAGCTGACTGCAAATAAGGAACTTAAAAGCATCAAATAGTTATGTCTTGCTTTAATCAGAGAAAAATCAAGCTATCAAGTACAAGATCTTATAGATGTCATTGTTTGCAACATGGCTATACTAGGTTTCTCTCTAAGAAGACCATTAAAAGGAAAGTTTTGCATACAAATCATACCCAGCTCTGGCTGAAATCGGGGGGAAAAAAACGATTGAAATTTGTAAAATTGTCCAGCCTGCCCTTTGCAGCTGAAGACACCGATATGTGTAAATGACTTGGCCATGATTATAGACACTGATGTAGAACTAAACACCAAGGTCTCTTCAATTGTAGTCAAATTGTGTGTGTGTGTGTGTGTGTGTGTGTGTGTGTGTGTGTGTCTGTGCATGTCTGTGTCTATGTCTGTGCGTCTGTGTGTGTGTGTGTGCTGGCACCAGGGCCTGAATTCAGGACCTTGAGTTCTCCCTCAGTGTTTTGACTCAAAGCTGCCATTTTTCCATTTGAGCCACATCTCCACTTCCTTTTGTTTTTCTGGTTAATTGGAGATAGGAGTCTCAGGAACGATTCTGCCCAGGCTGCCTTTAAATCATTATTCTCAGAACTCAGCCTCCCAAATAGTAAGGATTTCAGGCAGGAGCCACCAGCACCCAGCTTAACGCAATCATTTGACTGTCATTTTCCTTTACCTCTCTCATTTTTACAATCCAGTGGCCAGGACTATTTCTTATGACAAATACAAATTCAATTTGAAAAGATCTGTGTTAAAAGATCTGTGTGTCTCCTTGAAAAGGTGACCTATAATTCTGGTCCTGAGTTACTTCAAATCCACTGACTCCCAATTTCAGAATCCAAAGACTTTGGACAAGTCTCTTCACTACCACCCCCCTCTTCCCTATCCCCACCATCACCCCCACAGAGAGTGATCCTTGCTCCCCTGAAAACGGAGAGTTGGGCTTACAATCATTTTCTTTATACCTTTTATGTCATATTTGTTCTGACACAACGGAGAGAATAATAACGGCTGCATTCATTCATCCGCAGAGCCCACCAAACCACCAGCCAGCATCTTTGCCAGAAGTCTTTCTGCCACAGATATTGAAGTTTTCTGGGCCTCTCCCCTAGGGAAGAATAGAGGACGGATTCAAGGTTATGAGGTAACAAAGAGATATGTGTCTTAAATCCAAACCCCTCAATCACCCCTCCGGGACACATTTTGATGGAGAAGAGAGCCACATTGCCATACATGGGCATTTATTTCAGACGCCTGGCTTCTAACCCAGCATGGACACGGTATCATCTCAGCCGTGTGTGAGGATGTGCTTTGCCTGTGTTCCACTCCAGTGGCATTTTTTTCAAAATGTATGTCATTCAGAGGAGACTTTATTACTATGGGTAAGGCTCCAAAGTGTACACACTTTTTTTCGTTCTGTTTTGTTTTGTTTTTGTCAGTTGTGGGGCTTGAACTCTGGACCTGGGCATTGCCCCTGAGTTCTTCAGCTCAAGGCTAGCACTCTACCACTTTAGTTAGCCACGGCACCACTTCTGGTTACCTGGTGGTTAAGTGAAAAGCCTCATGGACTCTCCTGCCCAGGCTGGCTTTGAACTTCAATCCTCAGATCTCAGCCTCCTGAGTAGCTAGGATGACAGGCATGAGCCACCTGGGCCCTGGCTACACACCTCTTTTTTTAATCCTACAATCTCTGTTCATGAATTGAGACCTTGCACAGAAATAGGATCGCTTGGTGACATTAGAAATATTCCTCACTGAATGTGTTCTCCAAGACCTTTTGTTATGTTTTGTTTTAATTTTCTCAGGTAAAATATTGGAGACATGACGACAAGGAAGAAAATGCTAGAAAAATACGCACAGTTGGAAATCAGACATCCACAAAAATCACCAACTTAAAAGGCAGTGCGCTGTATCACTTGGCTGTCAAGGCATATAATTCGGCGGGGACAGGCCCTTCTAGTGCCACAGTCAATGTCACCACTAGAAAGCCACGTAAGAGCAAACTTGCTCCCAAGTATTTGGGGGGGTCGGGGGGGAGGGGAACAGATTCATCAAA